CTGCATGGTTCAAAATTAGGAAAGGAGTGAGTCAGGGATACATCCTGTCTCCACACCTTTTCAATATATATGCAGAACAGATCATTCAGGAAGCTGGGTTTTATAAGGAGGAACATGGCATCAGGATTAGAAGACTCATCAACAACCTGTGTAATGCAGGCATCACAACCTTGCTTGCTGAAACTGAGGAGGACCTGAACTGCTTGCTGCAGAATGTCAAGAACTGTAGTCTTCAATGTGGCCTGAAGCTCAACATCAAGACAAAGATTCTCACCACTGGGCCAATTGGCAGCATCATGATAGATGGAGAAGAAATTGAGGTTGTTAACAATTACAGCTTGCTCACACCACAATCAACACTCTTGGTACCAGCAGTCAGGAAATTAAAAGATGAATTGCATAGGGAAAATCTGCGGTTAGGGACCTCTCCAGAGTATTGAAAAGCAACAATGTTAGTCTAGAGACTTGTCATGTGCCATCGAGTCGCCTGCAACTCATAACAACCCTATGTACAACAGCCCTAAACCCAGCTCTATCCCTTGCCAATCTTATTGTCTTTGACACATCTACCCCAATTTATCTCTGTAACTGAATCAATCCATCTCATCAAGGGTCTTCCTCTCCTGATCTGTCCCTACACCTTCCTTAGCATGACATCCTTCTCCAAGGACTGATCCCTCCTTGCAACATGTCCAATGAATGTCACACGAAGCCTCAGAATCCTTGTTTCCAAGGAGCATCCTGATTTAACCCTCTCCAGGACAAACCTGTTCATTCTCTTGGCCGTCCATGGTATATTCAATACTCTTCTCCAGCACCACAGCTCAAAGGCATCAATTCTCCTTCTATCCTCTCTAGTCACTGTCCAGCTTTCTGATGCACAGCAAGTGATTGCAAAGACCATGGCCTGTATCAGGCACACCTTAATCTCCAGACTGACATCATCGCTCTTCAGTACTTTTGAGAGGTCTCTTGACCTCTCTTGAGTCTCTTTCTTGGGAAAGCCGACTTTCCCCAATGCAATACATCTTTTAATTTACTGGCTGCTGGTGCCAAGAGTGTTGATTGTGGAACGAAGCAAACTAAAGTTGTTTATAATCTCAATCTCTTCACTGTCCATCATGATGCTGCCAATCAGCCCATGGTGAGAATGTTTGTTTTCTTGATGTTGAACTTCAATCCATATTGAAGGCTGCAGTCCTTGATCATCTGCATCAAGTGCTTCATGTCCTCCTTAGTTTCAGCAAGCAAGGTTATGTCATCTGCGTAACGCAGATTGTTGATGAATTTCTTCCAAACCTGATACCACATTTCTCCTCATAGAGCCCAACCTCTTGGATAATCTGTTCTTCATATAGACTGAAAAGGTATGGAGATAGACACATCCCTGGTATACATCCTTCCCAATTTTGAACCACGCAGCATTCCCTCCTGGTCCAAGTATAGGTTTCACCTAAGCATAATCAAGTGTTCTGTGATTCCCATTTTTCTCAGAGTTAGCCACAGTTTTTTGTTGGCCACACAAATTCCTTTGCATAGTTAATGACACACAGATAGACATTCCTTTGGTGTGCCCTAATTGTGCCTAATCCAGGCCATGGTCTTTGCAATTACTTGCTATGCATCAAAAAGTTGGACAATAACCAAGGATGACAGAAGAATCAATGCCTTCGAGTTCTGGTGCTGGAGAAGAGTCTTGAACATGCCATCAACTGTCAAGAAAACAAATAGGTCTGTCTTGGAGAGGGTAAAACCAAGTTTCTCCTTGGAGGCTAGGATTTTGAAGCTCCATCTCACATACTTTGGGCACGTGCCCAGGAGAGACCGGTCCTTGGAGAAAGACATCATGCTCAGAGGGGTGGAGGGACAGCACAGGAGAGGAAGATTCTGGATGAGATGGATTGATACAGTAACTGGGGCAATGGGTATTGGTGTGTCAGATTCAGTGAGACTGGCTCAGGACAGGGCAGGCTTCAGAGTTGCTGCTGTACATAAGAGTCACTATGGGTCACAGTAGACTCGATGGCACATAACAACAATGTGAGACTGTACAGAAAAGTTAGGGAGCTGTAGGTCATAGTGGTTAAAAGCTGTGGCTAACTGAAAGGTGGGTGGTTGGACCACCTAGAGGCTACATGCAGAAAAAGATATGGCGCTCTGCTTTGTCAAGGATTCAAAACTCAAGCTCTCTCATTGCAACTGATTCAGAGGTGACCCTCCAGTGAGTATTCAGAAGTTGTAAACTGTACAGTAGATTCCCCATTTTTCTCCCTCATAGAAGGTGATGTATTTGAACTGCTTGCCTTTGGGTTGGCAGTGCAACTCCTTACCCACTTGGCTACCATGTGCTCCCTATGGTAAAGATTAAGTCTTATTAAACCTTTGGAGCAGTTCTACTCTGTCCAACAGAGTGACTGAGAATTACCTGAAAGGCAACAAGTTTCAAATCAGGAAAGATGTGCATCATGGCTGTACCCTTTCCCCATTTCTATTCAATCTGTATGCTGGGCAAATAATCTGAAAAATAGACTATATGAAAAGGATTAGGATTGGAGGAAAAATCATTAGCAACCTGCAATATGTAGATCACAAAACAAGCTTGTTGACCGTAACAGAACTTGAAAAACAATGAGAGTCAAAGGCTTTCAGTGTGGATTACACCTCAAGAGAAACAATAATCCTCACAACTGGACCAAGATAAATGGAGGAAAAAGCAAAGGTGTTAGTAATTTCATTTGTCTTGGATTCACAATCAATGCCCATGGAAGCAGCAGTCAAGAGACCAAGGAGCACAATACATTGGGTGAACCTGTGGCAGAAGTTCTTTAAAGTGCTAAAAATTCTCAGCAACAATAGAAAAATTCCACAGAGCAGCAAACTACAAAATGCTGGTGAGGTTTGGAGAAATTGGAACCCTTGTTCACTGCTGGAGGGAATGTCAAACAGTACAGCCAATAGAGAAGGCGGCTGGCGCTTTCTCAAAAAGTTGGAAAAGAAATACCAGTTAACTCACCAATGCCACTACTGGGAATATACCCTAAAAAAATCAGAGCTACGACTCAAACAGATGTATACACACTCATGTTTACTGGTACATTATTCACAGTAACAAAGAGATGGAAGCAACCCAAGTGTCCATCAGCAAATGAATGGATAGAAAAAAATACAGTATAGTCACACAATGGAATATTATGCAGCACTGAAAAACAATGAACTCTTTTAACATTATACAACATGGGGCAACCTGGAGGACATTATGTTGAGTGAAATAGCTCAGTCACAAAAGGAAAAATACTGCATAACATCAGTGTTAAAAAAATAGGACAGACATGGGGGGTTGGGGAGACAATGGGAAAAGTGTAGATAGATAATGAACATTGCATTAGATCAGATGATGGGAACAACTGTCTGAAAGGAATATATGATTAAATATTATATGCATGTAAACCTTCTAGAACAAGGGGTGTATTGTAGGGTGGATTAGCTGAGGGAGGAAAGAAAATGTGCAACAATGAATTAAAAAAATAATAGTAAAGGAAGAAATAATAAAAATATCTTGGAAAAAAATGAAGTGCTAAATAGCAAAGATGTCACTTTGAGGACTAATGTCTTCCTAGCCTAAGCCACAGTGTTTTCAGTAACTTCATAAGCATGTGAATAATTGTACAAGGAATAAGAAAAACTGGAGGACTGATACCTTTGATAGTAGTGTTGAGTACTGAATATACCATGGAGTGCTAGAAAGAACAAATCAGTCTTAGAAGTATCCCAGACACCTCCTAGAAGGTCAAGAGATGTAATCTTCCATACCTTGGACATATTACCAGGAGGAGAAACCAGTGCCTGAAGGCCATCATGCTTGGTCAGTGAAAAAGAGAAAGATCTTCAATGAGGTGGACTGAGATAAGGCTGTAACAAGGGGCTCAGGACTGGCTGGTGTATGGTTTTGTTGTACACAGGTTGTTCTGAGTCAGAACCAACTTCCAGGCACCTAATTAAGTCAGGATTCTCCATGGGAAGACTTTATGCTATTAGGGAAAATTAGTCAACATTCATGTTAGAACTCCACCCCCTGTATCAAAGATGACATGAATGGGATAGTAATCAAACATTTGTTCACAGTTTGCATTTATGACACTCTTCTGCATGGCACATTGAAGTTCGAGGTGTATGGGATTTATAATAAGGGGTACTGTATTTCATTGTTATTATGTGCTAAGGAGTCAGCTACAACTCAGAGCGACCCTGTGAACGACAGATAGGATCTTTACCGGGTTCTGCACTGGCCTCACCATCTCTGAAGTGTTTTGTGTCAATCCATTTTGTTGAGGGTCTTACTTTCACCGGCCCTCCACTTTTCCAAGCACCATGTCTTTTTCCAAGGACTGGTCCCTCCTGACAACGTGCTCAAACTGTGAAGTTTCACCACTTTTCCCTCCAAGGAGCATCCTGGTTGAATTTCCTCCCAGACAGACTTGTTTGTCTTTTTGGCCATGGTATATTTAGTACTCTTCTCTAACATCATGCATAATTATTTCATTATTGTTGTTGTTAGATGCTGTGGAGTCGAGTAATTTATATTTAAGCTCTCTTTGAAGATGTGAACCCTGTCCTATCCTACGCCAGCCTCATCATCTCTAACATACATTGAGTATTTCGTGACGTGTAAATTATGTGCTAAATTACGTTCATGTTGGGAAAATGCATTTAAATGAACTTTGTACCTACACATACGCCCTCAACCCCAACCCCCGCCCCGCGCCCGCAGAGCCCGTGGGTAACCCCCGTGGACGGCACTGGCTTGGGGCCCCGCCACCCCCGTGAGTCCACGCGGGGCCGCGGCCGACACGCATCTTTCCTAGAGCCGCCGCCTGGGGGCGCTCGCGCACGCGCGCTGGGCTGTGCAGCCTCGCGCTTTCGTGTTCTCGCGGGACTCGCCGCGGTGGCGGGAAAATCCCACTGAGCTGCCTCGGCCTCCGCCTCTCTCCGCTCCAGCTGCCATGGAGGACGAGGAGACTGAGGAGCAGCAGCATTTCTCTTATCAACAGGTACAGGAAAGCGGCGTCTTGGCCCCGCAGGGAAACTGCAGCTCCAGTTTGCCAGAGAGGAAAAGGAAGAAGAGTCCCGCCCGGCTCCTTCTCGGGGCCGAAGGAGTGGTTAATGTTAGGTGCCGTAGAGTCGAGTACGACTCATAGCGACCTGTGAACCTGTGAGCGTCTGAATCTTGCGCTCGTGCCCATTGCTGCAATCACTGTGTCACTTCACCTAGTTGAGTATCTTCCTCTCTTCCGCCGAACCAGTACCTTTCCAGAGCCTGACTTTTCCCAGCGCGAGACTGCCTGGTGCGACTGCGCATGTGCAAGCCGAGGTGCCGCGGGTGGTCCTGGGAGATGGTTTCCGTGGTAACGCGTTGGGTTAGGCGTGTGGGTTAGGTTTTAGGGTTGCGCCGTAATATTTAAGCCACGGAGTAAATTCTCAAAGAAGAGCGATTGAGCCACTTACTTATTTGGTCTCTTGTTGTGTAGCGGAGTCAGTACAGACCTCTGGCTGACCCTCCAGCGGCTGTAAAGTGCACAGGAGGAGATAGCCTGTCGTCCTCATGTGGAGCAGCTGGTGGATTCGAATACCGTGACTTTGGGATTGCTGCGCAGCTTCTTACCACTAGACCCCATTTAGCTCCTCTAGGCTGTGCGCCTCATAACTGACCTTCTGGCGAGTTTTCAGAGACAGTTAATCGCATGGGAGGAGATTGCCCGTCCTTATCCCGCGGAGTGGCTGGTGGCCTTAAATCACGTCGCTTCGGGATTGCAGCGCAGCTTCTTGCCAGTAGACCACCAGACCTAGAGTGCTAAATGCATTGCACATCTAGTCCTCCTGCACAAAATCCGGAGGAGAATTCCAGGGAATCTGCAGAGCCCTTCTTTCTTTGTGACTAAAGCTATGCCCACCCTCCTGTGAAATCAGGACAGCCGCAGTACCTAGCTCATGGAGGATTGTTGTGAGGTTGTGAAGAGAATCCATGTAAAACTCTGAGGGCTGTGACAGCTATGCAAAAGACTGAGTGACAAGAGCTGTAACTCTACCTGTGTTTTAAGACATCATGTAATTTACACCTTCTGAAAATCAGCTAAGGGTTAGCTGTGAGTTACTTCTGACTAGAGAAATGGGAAACTGAACTTGTTAGGTGCTGTCTCTAGTCAACCACAGCTCATAGTGATCCAGTGAACAGATCTGAACCTTGCCCTATTCTGTGCCATCCTCACCATCTCCCACCCACGTTAGCCCGTTGTTACAGTCACTGTATCCGTCCACCTTGATGAGGGTCTTCCTCTCTTTTACTGACCCTCCACTTTTCCAAGCATGATGTCTTTCAACAAAGTATGTGAGCAAGTTTTGCTTTCTCCAAGATTCTCTTGGCAATCGATGGGCTATTTAGTACTTTCCTCAAAACCACAACTCAAAGACATTGATTCTTTTGTTATACTTATTCGTTATCTACCTCAGATGATGCATATCAAGCAATTGAGAAGACCATGGCTTGGATAAGGTAGGCCTTAGTCTTTAAATGTACATTATTACTCTTAAGTACTCTATAAATGTCTCTGACAGCAGTTTTCCCAATGCTATACATCTCTTGATTTCTTGATTGCTGTAACAAGGGTACCAGCTTGGGGATCCACGTAAGATGAAATCGTTGGCAGTTTCAATCTTTTTTCCATCTATTGTGGTGTTATACATTGCAGGCGACTCAATGGCACACAACAACATACTATAACCTGTTTTGGAAGCAGGAATGGCATCCACTCCCTAAATAACACGCCTCTGGAAACTCTGTGAACTTTGATAAATGTCAGTAGAGGGGCCTCATGTCTTTTGTTCATAGGGTCGCTATGAGTTGTGCTTGACTCGACAGCAATCAACATCATTCTGCTGCCTATTGACTTAGTGGTGAGGATTTTTGTTTTCTTGGTATTGAGATGTAATCCATATCGAAGGCTAATAGTCCTTGATTTTTCTACAGCAAACACTTCAAGTTTTCACTTTCAGCAGCCAAGGTTGTGTCATGTACATAAGGCAGGTTGTTAAAGAGTCTTCCCTCCAATCTTGATGCCACATTGTTCTTAAACCCTGGCATCTCAAATTATTTGTTCATACAGATTGGGTAGATATGGAGAAAGGATACAACCATGATGCACAACTTTCTTGATTTTAAACCATGCAGTGTTCCCTTGCTCTATTTGAAAGACAGCCTGTTGGTGTAGGTATAAACCTCAATGAGAACAATGAAGTGTTCTGGTATTCCCATTCTTCTCAATGTTTGCCACAATTTGTTATAATGCACACAGTTTAATGCCTTTACATAGTCAATAAAACACAGATAAACATCCTTCTAATATTCTCTGCTTTCAGCCAAGATCTTTCTGTCCTAAGCAGTGATAGCCCTGGTGCTAGAGCCTCAGCTAAATCCAGCTTGAATTTCAAGATTTCCTGAATTTCTGACTTTGGAACAGATCAACTCCTTATGTACAAGTTAAAACAGAAGCTGAAGAAAATGAAAAACAAATTCATAAGAATAAAAATATGTCCTTGAATCTATTCCATCTGAATTTAAAAACCATTTCAAGAACAGATAGGAGGCATTGAACATTAATAATCGAAGATCGGATGAGCTGTTAGGTGACTTCATCCATGAAGAAAGCAGAAGGTCATTACAAAGACGGGGGAGAAAGAAAAGACCAAAATGGATGTAAGAAGAGACTAAAATTTGCCCTAGAGTGTCAAAAGAAAAACAAATTTAAGAAATGAGAAATAAAATAGTTACACAGAACAGTGCAAAGAGTAGTTCAAGAAGACAAATACAATGAAACATGCTGAGACAGTAAGTAAAAAGGGAAGAACTTGCTTGGCTTTTCTCAAGCTGAAAGAACTTGAGCTACAATACTGAAGGATACCAAAAGCAAAATCTTGAATGATCCAGGACACATCAAAAGGAAATTGAAAGAATGCATGGAGCCACTGTACTAAATAGAATTGACAGGGACAGAACCATTTAAGATATAATACAGAAGCATGTGATCAAGAACCAATGGTAATAAAGGAAGATATTGAAGCTACACTGAAGGCACTGGCAAAAATAAGGCTCCAGGAATTGATGGAATACCAACTGACGTTCTGACAAACAGAAACAGAATGTGGAAATTATTAAACAGTGATGTTATTGTCACACACAAGCAAAATCTTGCTGAAGATTATTTAAAAATTAATAGAACACAGAGTCACTGGACCAAAACGAATTGGCTGATACAGAAGAATTTCATGAAACAGCATGTAACCAAGAGGCAGTGGTGGTGAAGAAGGAAGTTGAAGCTGCTATGAAGGAATTGGCACAAAACAAGGTCCCAGGAATTGATGGAATACCAATTGAAACATTTGAGATGCTGCTCTGGACGTGTTCATCAAGTTATGCCAAGAAATCTGGAGAGCTACGACTGGAAGAGATCCATATTTATTCTTATTACAAAAAAGTAATCTGACAGCGTGGAAATTATCAGAAAATATCACTAATATCACATGCAAGCAAAATCTTGATGAAGATTATCCAAAACCAATTGGAATAGTATATCAACAGAACTACCAGAAGTACAGGATAGATTTAGAAAGAAGCCACAGCACTGGGAACATCATGGCCAATGTCAGCTGTATCTTAGCTGAAAGCAGAGAGTACCAGAAGAAAGTCTGTATTTCATTGACTACGCAAAGGCAATGGATTGTGTGGATCACAACAAATTGTGGTTAACCCTGAGGAGATGGGAATCCCAGAACACCTGATTGTGCTCATGTGAAACCTATACTTGGACCAAGAGATAGTTGTCAGAGCAAGGAAGCTCTGCATGGTCCAAAATCAGGAAAGGAGTGTGTCAGGAGATGTATCCTGGCTCCATATTTCTTCAATCTATATGTGGAACATATCATTTGGGAGGCTGGTCTTTATTAGGAGGAATATAGCATCAGAATTGGAGGAAGACTTATCTACAATTTCTTTTATGCAGGTGACACAATCAGGCTTGCTGAAACTGAGGAGGTCCTGAAGCATCTGCTGCAGAAAGATAAAGACTGTAGTCTTCAGTATCGATTGAAGCTCAACATCAAGAAAACAAAGATTCTCACCACTGGGCCAATTGGCAGCACCATGATAGTTTTAGAAGAGATTGAAATTGTCAATAATTTCAGCTTGTTTAGTTCCGCAGTCAACACTCTTGGCACCAGCAGCCAAGAAATGAAAAGACAAATTGGATTAGGAAAGTCGTCTGTTAGGAATCCCTCCAGAATGGTGAAGTGCAAAGATGTCAGTCTAGAGACTAAGGTGTGCCTGTTCCAGGTGATGGTCTTTGCAATTACTTGCATTGCATCAGAGAGCTGGACAATGAACAAGCCTGACAGAAAAACTGATGCCTTTGAGTTGTCATGCTGGAAAACAGTATTGAACATACCATGGACTGCCAAGAGAACAAACAGGTTTGTCCTGTTTGAAACCAAGTTGCTCTCCGGAGGCAAGGATTTTGAAGCTCCATCTCATATACTTTGGGCATTTACCCAGAAGCATCCAGTCTTTGGAGAAGGATATCATGCTTGGGAGGGTGGAAGGGACAACAAAAGAAAGGAAGACCTGGATGACTTGGGGTAATAGGGGCAGGTGTGTTGGAGACAGTGTAATTGGCTCCAGATAGGACAGTGTTCGGAGCTGTTGTACATAGGGTTGCTATGAGTCATAGACAGCTCCATGGCATATAACAACAACATTTCAACACGAGAAAGAGATAGTGCCTTTTATACTATCCATTTTACATACAAGCAAACTGAAGCTCAGAAGGGTGATTTGGGATTCCTGGCTCCACCTTCTTGCTTGTGTTAATTCTGACCCAAACTTGACTTTCTTATGTGTAAAATTAGAATGAAAAGAACTACTTCTTAAATATTTTTGAGCTTTGGTCATTCCTTAATCTGTGCTGAGATTACGGTGTGGCAGAGGCATGAGAATGCAAATGACAACATGATGTAAAGATCTTTAATGCAAAGATTGCCATTGTTGTTGTTATGTGCTGTTGAGTTGCCTGCGACTCATAGTGACCCTATGTACAACAGCCCTAAACCCTGCTCTGTCCTGTGCCAACTTCACTATCTCTGACACCCCCACACCGATTACCCCTGTCACTGAATCAATCCACCTCATAGAGGGTCTTCCCCTCCTGTACTGTCCCTCAACCCTCCCAAGCATGATGTCCCTCTCCAAGGACTGGTTCCTCCTTGCAACATGTCTGAAGCATGTCAGATGAAGCTTCAGAATCCTTGTCTCAAAAAAAAAAAATCCTTGCCTCCAAGGAGCAGCCCGGTTTAACCCTCTCCAGGATGAACCTGTTTGTTTTCTTAGCAATCCACGGTACCCTCAATACTCTTCTCCAGCACCACAGCTCAAAGGCATCAATTCTCCTTCTATCCTCCCTAGTCATTGTCCAACTCTCTGATGTATAACAAGTGATTACAAAGACCATGGCCTTTATCAGGCGCACCTTAGTCTCCAGAGTGACATGATTGCTCTTCAGCACTTGGGAGAGGCCCCTAACTGCAGACTTTCCCATGGCAATATGTCTTTTAATTTCCTGGCTGCTGTTGCCAAGAGTGTTGCCTGTGGAGCCGAGCAAACAAAAGCTGTGAACAATCTCAATCTCTTCACCATCCGTCCTGATGCTGCTAGTTGGTCTTGTGGTGAGAATCTTTAATGCTTTGTTATACATCTCCTAAAAACAAAAGTATTCTCCTGCAAGATCTCAATGAATTATCAAATTTAGGAAGTATAATATATGTTAGTAGGGACCCTTGATGGCACAGTGGTTAGAGGGCTTTGGGTACTAACTGAAAAGTTGGTGGTTCAAACTCATCAGCCACTCCTTAGGAGAAAGTTGTGGCAGTCCACGTCTGTGAAGATTACAGCCTTGGAAAATCTATGTTGCAGTTGTCTGCCCTATATGACAGTTGACTCAGTGCTAATAATTTCCATTTGGGTTTGGGATATTGATAAAGTCAGTTATTCAGTGTACATGTCAAAATTTCACCAGTTGTCGCAAAGATGTATTTTTTTAGCCATCTGTTTTCTTTACCCAATATCCAGTCAGGGATTGAGCTTTGCATTTAGAAATCTTGCTTCTTTAGTCTTCTCAGAAACAGTTCTCAACCTTCAGTCTTCTCTGTCTTTAATTTTTAGTGGCTTTGAAGCATTAGAGTATATTGGGAGACAAAGTTCCTGAGAGCAGGGACAGCGTTTCACTCCCTCCCCTTTTGTTATTTCCAGCTTCTCTTGTGGCTCTGAAAGGACTCGTAAGTTTCCATAGGTGGGCTGATGCTTGTGGTTTTGTAGGATTAAATCCAGGCAGAGAAATTAGAACCTCTCTATTCAGTAGTAAGAAGGTAGCAGATCTCCCATTCATTTAGTCAGCTGTTTAGGGCACTAAATGCAGAGTGGTGAACAAAACTGACAGTGTCGTGCCTTTGAGGAGTTTACAGTCTAATGAGTTAGCCATTAAGTGATGTGCTCAACATTGAAAAAGATTGAAGAGCCCAGGGTGGAGAGGGCAGGGAGACAACACTTCCTGGATCGGATGGACCTCTGTTCCTCTTCTCCATGCATACCTGAAAAAGATCTTGGAGGGTCTTCTTCTCTCTCAGGTTGATGGCCTCTCTGGCTCCTCATTCCAAAAGGTCTCAATTTACTTAGTCTCCTGACCCTCAAAACTAAGGCTGGTCTCCCTGGCCTCTGCCCTGGCGTCTGGCCTGGCGTTTTCTTATAGTGTGTCGTCATTTTGCCTGTATTGTAAGCACCTTTTAGTAATTACATGCTATGTAGACTCTCCTGACACCATGTCCAGCTGTGTTCTGTTTCTGGCTGAGAGACCCAGATAGGGACACAACAAAAGTTTGTTGACATAAGATCATTGCTGAACAGGAGTCAGTCCCTGGAGAACGGCATCAAGCTTGAGCAAGAGGATCAGGGAAAGAGAAGAGGACTCTCACAATGACGGCTCCAGTGGGCGTAGGCAAGGCAAAGATTGTGGGGATGGCTCGGGATGCAGCGTGGCTTTGTGCTGTTGTACTTGGGGTCACTGTGGGTCAGAGCCCACTCCATGGCATCTAACTGTTATCACCTTAAACTTAGTTTAGTTTTATAAAGATTGTCACCCGAGTGTTGCATTTAAAAGGGGAGGGAGGCATTCGACTTTTTTTTTTTAATAAGTATTTTTCTTTTTTCTTTTAAGATTTTCTTATTTTTTGTGTGTACCGTCAAATCAGATCTGCCTGGTACAGGAGGAGATTGCCCCTCCTTCTCCAGCAGAACAGCTGGTGGATTTGAACTGCGTACCTCTGAGATTGCTCAATATCTTTTTTTTTTCTTGTAATTATAAATTTTATTCAGCTTAGGTAAGAGAAGACCATCTTTGATAGTCCTTCCTTGAATCAATATCTTTTTTAAAAACAGAGAACACTGGGTGCTGGAAGTTTCAATGGAAGTGGAACAACCAGACAAGTAATGAGGATGTTGACCCAAGGGAATAACGTAACCAGTGTCACTCAGCCAATGTCTAGAAACTGGAATGAGAGTGGGCTTTGCTGTGTATATTTCCACCAAAATAAAATATAAAATGGTCTTGGGAGCAAACAAAAAATATTAAATAAACCTGAGTTTGCTTAACATTTGTCTTTTTTTTTTAAATTATTTTGTGTGCATGTACTGTCAAATCAGATCTGACTGGTACAGGAGGATATTGCGCCTCCTTCTCCGGCAGAGCATCTGGTGGACTCGAACCGTGTTCCTCTGGGATTGCAGTGCAGCTTCTTGCTACTAGGCCACCAGAGCTCCCCTTAACATTTGTCTTGAAGCTCTTCCTCTTCCAGGTTTGTCAGAGATGATGAGGATGGCACAGGCTAGGGCAGGGTTCAGATCTGTGATTCACAGGGTCCCTGTGAGTCATCCTTGACTTGGCAACACCTAAGAACAACAACAACCAGGAAAAGAGAGGGTTTCTATGGTTATCCAGGTAACCTCCAAATCAAAGGAGGGTGAGATGCGCCTTCATGGCCTTTCCAGGTATCATTGTGAACTTTCATCCTTTGGACATGGAGGCCTAGGGCTGGCAGAAACTTGCAATGAAAGAGTGGAATCCTGATGGGTTTATTTGATGAACTGCCTTGAGGGCAAAATCCCAGACTGATTTTTCACCATGCTCCACAGAACTCCTAAGATTGTATCTCTATGTCAAGAAAACAAAAATTCTTACCACTGGACCAATAGGCAACATCATGATAGATGAAGAATAGATTCAAACTGTCAACAACTTGGATCTACAGTTAACACCCTTGGTACCAGCAGTCAGGAAACCAGGAGGCATATTGCACTGGCAAAGTTTGCAGCTAGGGATCTCTCCAAATGATTGATTGAGTTTGAGGACTCTTGTGCATCTGACTCAGTTCATAGGCTTTTTTAGTTGCTTGTTATGCATCTGAGAGCTGGACAATGCATAAGGATGATAGAAGAATTGATGTCTTTGAGCTGTGGTGTTGAAGAAGAGTTCTGAACATCCCATGGAATGCCAGAAGAACAAATAAATATGACTTGGAGAAGGTGCAGCCAGAGTGGTCTTAGGAGGCAAAGATGATAAGGCTTCACCTCACGTACTTTGGGCATGTTGCTAGGACGGCCTATTCCTTGGAGAGGGATGGTTGGAGAGGTGGAGGGTCAGCGAAGGAGAGGAAGACCCTTGACCAGGTGGATTGACACAGTGACTGCTACAGTGGGCTCTAATGTGTGAGAATGGCATAAGATAGGTCGCCATGGGTCGTACTTGACTCAGTAGCACCTAACAATAACAACAACCTGACTTAAATATTTTTTCACTCTGTTATAGTAATCTTGTTGTGTGTCATGAAGTCAGAACCAAGTCATAGTTGAGCCTCCAGTGGGTTTTAAGAGGCTCTAAATCACACAGGAGGAAAATGCCCATTTTTTTCCCAATGGAGCAAAATATATTCGAACTGTATACGTTTGGGTTGGCAGCACAACTCCTTACCACTAGGCCAACAGAGCTCTCTACGTAGTAATAGTTGTTAATTATGAAGTAATATTTCTGTAAGTCATGCTCCAGAGTTCTTGTTGTTTTATATACGGTCAAGTTGGAACCAACTTATAGCTGATCCTCAGTGGATTTTTAGAAGTACTAAATCACACCCATCTTATCAGTCAAAAGGAGACTGCTCATCTTTCTACTACTGAGCAGCTGATGAAGTCAAACTGCGTGGCTTTGGGTCGGCAGCATAGCTACTTACCACTAGACTACCAGAGATCCCTCATGCTCCAGAATGTCTCCCCAAAATAGTACACGCGGAAAGTGACTTGGCCATCATGAGAAGTCCCACAGAAATTAGTATGAGCAGACCCTTTTTATAGATGTGGAAAGCTCTTATTTGTATGTTTACTTATGAAATTATTTTGGTTATTGTATTTCCCCCCAGAGGCTAAAGGCAGCAGTTCACTACACTGTTGGTCGTCTTTGTGAGGAAGTTGCATCAGACAAGGAGATACAGTTCAGCAAACAAACCATTGCAGCGATTTCAGAGTTGACTTTTCGACAGTGTGGTATGTAGCTGTGTAGCATGTGAATGTGTCTAAGTTCTGACTGAGCCCTTTCGGTGGGCTGGGAGAACTCTGGGTGGGTACTATATAGCATGTATTTCCAAGAAGCAAAGAACATTCTCACCATAGCTATATTTTATGAAAAGAAGTGTGTAGGTTTTTTTCTCTGTTACTTGGTAGTACAAGCAGTTAAATGTGTGACTCCTATCCGAAAGACTGACAGTTCAAACCCACCCAGAGGTGTCTTGGGAGACAGCACTGATGACGTGCTTCCAGAAGACCCTAGCGTTGACAGTCTTTGGAGCACACTTTTACCCTGTACCCATGGGGTCACCAAGAGTTGGAATCCACCACGTGACAATTAAAAATACATTTGAATGGAGGCATTAGCACATTTATTTTACTATGTTTAAAACTATCCAGATGCCTGGAACACTGGGCATTACCTTTTTCCTTTAAATGCTTTATAGCATTTTTATGCTACTGTAATTTATTTGCCAGGTGAACTTGTGGCCTGAGCATTTGCTTGACTTCAGAAGTAATTATCTCCTCACAGGCCCTAACTTGTAACAAAACTTAGTTAGAAAATAGTTTCTAGAAGCCAGAGATGGTGTGAAAAGAAACAGAAGACTTGTGATCAAGTGTGAATGGTGTAGGGAATAACAAGACAATCATAATGGATATATTGTTGTTGTTGTTGTTGTTGTTGTTGTTGTTGAGCACTGTTGAGTCAGGACCGATACATAGCTGACCCTCAGAGACAGTTAATCACTCGGGAGGAGATTGCTCATCCTTCTCTCTCAGAGCAGCTGGTGGATTTGAACCATGTACCTTATGGATTGCAGCACAGGTTCTTACCACTAGGCCAATAGAGCTCCCGTAATGGATATAGAACGGTTATAAAAACCAAAACACAAAGACATTGCCAGCCAGTCACCCAGACTCCTAGTGTTCTAAATGACAGAATAGAATTTCCCCACAGGGTTTTCGATTCCATGCTCTCTAGTTGGGTTCGAACCATTGCACTGCAGCACTTAACCACCGCCCACCAGGCTTCTTAAATATGGCTGACAGCAGTTGTAAAATGATCATGTAGCCTCAAGTCTGAGATCTTACCTTTCAAAGGTTTGTTATAGTAATCACTGTACTTACTGTAGAATAGATTGCGTTTCCATCTTGTTTCACAAGATTGAGGCAATGGTGGCTAAAGAATATCTCTCTTCTCTTTCAGAAAATTTTGCCAAAGACCTTGAAATGTTTGCCAGGTGGGTAGAGGACTTGATCATCTGATGCTCTTTGTTTACCTTCTATTGATACTCTCCATCTGGTGGTATGTTTCAGGAGCAGTTTCATGGTTTCCCCCCATTTTTTGGTGTTTTGTGGAGGCTAGTATCTAATTATGCTGCAGGAATGCAGTGCCTGCTCTAATCACGTCCATTCAGAACTTTTTTTCCCCTTAAAAACCCCCCACTTTCCAAGTATTTTCTGTTAAAGAACAGAAGTTATTCAGTTCTAGATTGAAAAGGTAATGGATACTGTCTGCAGGTCTCTGAATGTGTATGATGTTGAGTATTTTGAAACATTTTCTGTGCTGTGGTTTGATGCTCTGTAGGAGAGGAAGGAGGGGACCAGAGGCAATTGCTGTCGGGGTCGTGCTGCCTGTGTGGCGTTAGGATGACATTGGGATGGCAGATGTAATTGCTCACAGGTGTACAGATAATGACAGCACCGTCTACAGTCAGAGGCTTTCATTTGCCACATTTGTTAGGAGTGAGACTCACTCCCTGAAAGTGGGTGACTGGCTTTCAGCTGGCAAAGCTTTAGCTTTTACAGGTGATTTATACTCAGCTCTTCAATTAGTACCTTAGGTAATTGAAAACAGTTGCAACAAATTGCTTTTATGAAGCAATTTGAATGACTAAGGCTTGAAAGGGCTAAAGCTTTCTAATTTGCTACCACTTCTGATTTGGTGCCAACTTCTCCCACACCCCATACTTTTCACCTTGCTCCTATTAGCTCTTTGTTTCTCCGAGGAATATTTTGAATGAATTAAATCTGTAGGTTCACAGAGGGCAGGCTTTAAATCTTTCCAATCCCTGTATATATTAGTCTCTACAAACTACAATCTTCATCTGAGCCAAAGCGATAGTGTTAGCTCACATGGCCTATTCATCATTAACTTATGTGTGGCCCGTCGTCTTCCCTGTGTCTCCTGAGAAATCTGTTTTTTACCTTTACTTGCCATTTCTATCTATGTTAGCTATGGAAAAAAAGTCTTTTCTGAAACGTCTAGAAATAAAAGTGAAAGTAGGAAGTTAGCACTGTAGCACATTAAACTTTCAGACACTGTATTGTATAATTATTTGAAAATTGATTCAGTAGTAGAATTCTTCCCTTCCATGTGGAGGACCTGGGTTCAGTTCCTGGTCAGTGCCTCTCTAAGACCACCACCACCCAGGTATCAGTGCTTGTGTGCTGTCACGATGGTGGACAACAGCTTTCAGTGGAGCTTCCAGACTCATACTGGCTAGGCAGAGAGGACCTGTGATCTTAAAAAAAAAGGGCAGTGGAAACCCAAACTCTCTGGGTGACATGGCCAGTTATGTCAGACTAGGCAGTGTTTTATTTCCTTATGTTTAGGGTTTGTCACAGTTGGCAATAGCTAACAAGAATACTGTAAATACAGATCTGAATACAGACAGAGCAGCCTGGCTGCTGGTTGTTAGGCAGATCGTGTCGGTTGCAGTGAGATGATGTTGTGTACCATAGAGTCTGAAGCGTCCTGTAGCTGACCCTCCCGTTTTCAGAGACAGTTAATCCTGAGAGGAGATTGCCCATCCTTCTCCTGCAGAGCAGCTCATGGCCTCGAACTGCATGCCCTTAGGATTGCAGCACAGCTTCTTGCCACTTGGTGACCAGAATGATGAGATGATATTTGCACATTTATAAGGATAATAGGATTAATTTGGCTGAATTATGGAGTATAATTTTGGTGTAACTAACTCAATGCGTATTTGGTAAGGATTTACTGTGTGCTGGGCACTAGCTCATATGAGTTGGCTACATTAGGTTTGAATTTGGGGGAAAGCTACCTATTGAGAATACAAAGATGAGTTATTCCTGCTTCTTTCTTGGCAAGTTTGAAATCAGAAGAAATGGTATAATTCAGGGTAATAACTAATTAGAGCTGTTAGCTCAAATTACTTTGTAAAGAGAAGAGAATTAGAATGAAAATTTGAGTCCCAGTGAAGAAGAGCCAGACTCTCGTTCAAATGCCATTTATCTTTGGAGGAGAACATCAGGAACTTGGTATTAATGGAATCTAGGCTTCAAGGAAATTCTCTTTCCCTCTTTTTCACAGCTATGTAAACAGTGATCTTGGGATTCTGTCCCTTTTCTCTTGAATGCTGTGCTAACTTTCTGTGTGGTCACTTTTGGAAGAGTGTTAACACCGCTTTCTTGGCCTCAATCTGAGGCAGACAGATGAGCTCTGCTTTCTCTTTCTTTCTTTCTTTACTTGGTGGCTTGACTAGTAACTTCACTCCTTTTTATGCCACTGTTGCTTAATTATCTTAATCTAAAAAGCACGGCTATAGAAAGCCTCACTCATTGTTACTCTTACCATGGACCTTTGTGTTTCATCCCAGTTCTCAGTAATACCAAACATTTTGGTGAATTGTTTCTGCCTTTTCTACAGGCATGCAAAAAGAAGCACAATTAACACAGACGACGTGAAGCTCTTAGCCAGGAGGAGCAACTCACTGGTGAGAAATGAATTTCTTTCCTCACTCCCCTTTCCCATCAGAATACATTATTCCCAATTAATCACTGGAAGCCGTGAAGGTATTCCCCAGGGCACCTTGCATTAAAAACCGAAGGTGGTTGGACTCTTCAGACCTGCCTATAATTTATAGTCACTCTTCCATTATGATGAATCTTGCTAAGCCAATTTGAAATTTTCTAATCAGCACTCTCAGATTTCATAATTTGCCTTTTTTGTAAGGTCTCAAAACTTTGGTCCCACGTTCCATTTATAGCCTGGTGTCAGAGGCAGGGCACTGGGCAGAGTCTTTGGGAACAGTTTCATTCTCATGCACACAATTCCCTGAAAGACCAGGTATAGAAGGAGTATCTGAATACCTGGAGTGTGCAGTTAAGGTTTGGAAAGGAACATTTAGATTGAGCCCTAGGTTTACAGATGAGGGAGGACATTGACACCAGAGACACCTAGTCATCTCAGGCTGGTCGCTGGGGCTGCTGGCAGATCCAGGACACCGTGAGGCTGACTGGGTCTAATGCTGCTCCTAGTTTACCCTCCTTCCTGTAATATCAGCTTAGTGAGAGCATGGGAGCTGGGGTGTATTTTGTCTCTTTGTTCTTTATTCTGCCTGACCATATGTTACTACGAGTTCAATAAATGCTTGTTGAATGAGTGACTTTGTATACAGCACTTTACAGTTTACAGGGGATTCTTATAAATATTTTATGTACATTAATGAATCTTTACAACTACCCTATCAAGGTATATTAGCTTCCTAGAACTGCCTAAGAAAAATAACCACAAACTGGGTGGTATAAAAAGAAGAAAGATATACTGTCTCCCAGTTCTAGAGACTAGAAGTCTTAGATCAAGGTGTCTGCAGCACCATATTCCTTCTCAAGGCTCTAAGAGAAGGTTCTTTCCTTGCCTCTTCCACCTTCTATAGCCCCAAGAAGTTTTTGGCTTTTGACTGCAGTTTCTGCTTTTCTCTACTCTTCTGTCTTCATGTGACATTCCCCGTGTTTTGTTTCTTTTTTCTCTTCTCCTAAGGGCATAAGTCATATTAAGGACACACTCCAGTATAGCTCTGGTGGCTTAGTGGTAAGGAGTTGCACTGCCAACACAAAGGCACACAGTTCAAATCCGTCAGCAACTTAACGAGAGAATGATAGGCTGTCACCTCCCATCTGATTTACTGCCTCCGAAAACCTACTGGGAGTGAGCTGTGGGTTGGTTCTGACTTGATGGTGCACAACAACTAGTTTCAGCTGGATAGTACATAACAACAGGTCCTCCTATGACCTCATTTTAACTGAGTACATCTACAAAGACCCTACTTATAAGATCATGTTCAGAGGCTCTGAGTAGAAGTGAACAGAGGAGGAGCACATGACCCAGCCCAGTAGTACAGAGGGTTGTTAATTACATGACTTTATTGGCTCCATTTTACACATTAGCCCACTGTCGTTCAGTAACTCCCCAAAGTTAAATGTGTTGCTTTCTGGGTGGTTTGATAGTTGAACCTCCACATTCTAGCCATGAATCTAATGCTGTTTCCATGAGGTTGGAAACTCCAGCCCTCCATCATCTTCTCTCCTTTCTCCTAGATGTTAAGTCAAGGTTAAGAATGATGTGATTCCTAATAGCTAAGGAGCTTGGTGGTTCTTTATTTTAGTGAAAAAGGCATTTCTCTCTCTCCATAAATTCTGTGCACTGTCATTACATAGTCTGCTTTGGGGAGCAATTTCTATGAACAGTCAAAGGAATGTTCATTGCAAATCATATTACAGTATTAATTAGGAAGTCACCAGCTTGTTGCATATTTGTTTACTTCACAATGTTGTTTTTATTCAGACTCTTAATTTTTTTCCCTTAGGTATTTATATTATTATTTTTTTTCTTCATTTTTTTAAAAATTAATTTTTTTTTTTTGGCTTACTACCTAAGAGCTGCAGCTAAATTTGTACATCTAAGTCATCTTGTGAGGGCAGAGGGTAGGGACCTTGTAGATACAATGCCTGATACATCATAGTTGCTTCTTACATTTTCACTGAATAAGTTAAAGGAGCTGATGATAGTATTTCTGCCTTATAGAGTATATTTGTGATCACCATGCTTCGTACAAGCTCTGAGATTTAATTCTTTTGATTATCAAGGAGTACACTGCTCTGTGTGTGTGTGTGTGTGTGTATATATATATATATATATATGTAGGCAAGGATTGATTCTACAGCTCCGTCTAACATACTTTGGACATGTTGCAAGGAGAAACAGGTCCTTGGAGAGGGACATCATGCTTGGTAGGGTGGAGGGACAGCGCAGAAGGGGAAGCTCCCTATGAGGTGGATTGATTCAGTGACTGGGGAAATCGGGATGGGTGTATCAGAGATGGTGCGATTGGCACAGGACAGAGCAGAGTTTAGGGATGTTGTACAGAGGGTCACTATGAGTCGCAAGCGACTCGACGGCACATAACACCACACTGGTATATACACATTGGAATGCATTGGCATATATTGCTTGGGATTTATGAGTAACAGTTTTTCTATGGTTTCAATAGTTTTTCTATATTTTCTATAGTATTTCTATAATTGATTCCTTTTTCCAGATTAGGTTTTATTTTTTAGATTGAGAAAGTGGTGTAAATGCAGTTATTATACTTTTTTTTTTTTTTTGTAGCTGAACTACATCACAGAGAAATGTGATGAGATTACTCAGTTCAACCAAGAACAAAAGGCAAAGAAGAAAAAGAAGCTGGAGGATGGAAATCAAGAGTCAGGGGAACCAGCGGAGGCTGAAGTAGTGGAAAGTGGGAATTAGACTGACCACCATTTGGAAAAGCTGTTCAGCAGGTAGAGCCATGCAGAAATGCATGTTGCCGCACAAAAGGTTGAAGTTCTAAGTGAGATTAGGGAATAAATCCAACAAGAGCCTTTTTGCGTTGTATTTTTCTAAGTCACTGACTTAAAGAACTGGTTGTGGCCTGCCACTGCCATCCTGTGGTCTGGCGTGGTGACACGCACAGCAACTGGTCCAGAAAGGAGAATCTGCCTCACTCTCTTGCTCAGCATGCCAGACTCCTCTACTCTCCCTGCTGTGAAGAAAGTGATTCGGCAGCTTCAGTCAGAAGCTGGGCTCAACTACATGAAGGTTTCCCAGGCAGCTGTAGATTTCAATCAATTCTGTCAGCAGAATGCTCAACATGACCCCTTGCTGACTAGAGTATCTTCAAATACAAATCCCTTTAGATTCCAGAAAAGTGTTCATTTTTGTAGTAAAATGAATCTTTCAAAGGTTTCCTAAATCATTCTTATGAACCAGTGAATATTCAAAGGAGAACTAATCTGAAGACTGTACAAAGTCTTATCTGTATAACACAAGTGCCATACTATACAGATAAGTGACTTTTGTTGGTTCTTAACATCTGCCTCTGAATTTTCATGAGTTTATTTTTACAAGGCTACTTGTTATTTTATATACACTGGTAGCTGCATGTAATAAAATAGTTGGTATTAAAAAATAATTTAAAAGAGAACTGGAGACTTAAGCAAGATACTCTCAAGTACACTAAAAAGGCATTGTCTTAGAATGGTTTATATTTCTTAAAATTAATTATGTTGGCAATTAAACATTTATGGTCAACTTTTCAGAGCAAAATGAACCTTGTAAGTAAGCCAATATAAAATAAAAGTTTTTTTTAAAAGATAGAAGGAATACACAGAAAACAACAACAAATACAGTTTTCCAAGCTAGATGACAGTCTCTGAAAGATAGGTGAATAAAGTTCTATTTATTTAGCTCTTCTTTTTTTCCTTTTATTATGCAGATTGCCCACACACACACTTTCCTTCATTGGCATTGTTTCTTAGAATCATTCCCATACATTGTATTTTATAAAATTAATCACCATTGGACTATGCCCACCATTACTCAGTCTTTTCAGGTCCCTGCTGGATCTTACCCATTTCCTTTACCTCCTCCTTCCACCCACTAGATTTTGGTGAATCCCTGTGATTTTGCCAGTACCCGTCTTCACCGCTCTGCTCCCACTCCTTCCCTCCTTGAACCCCCATACACATTTTACTAGTTGTCTTTTTTTTTTACTAGTTATCCTTCCTTTTACAATAATGGTCTTATGAGATTGAGTTCATTCAGAATAATGCTCTCCAGTCTCTTGCAAGTTATGTCATATTTTTTCACAATTGTTGCTCCTGAGTGCTGCGTAATTTTCCTTCATGTGAATATACCATAGTTTCGCAATCCATTCAGTTGTGGTTGGACATTTGGGCTGTTTCCATGTTCTTGTGATGGTGAATAACTGCTATGAACATTGGTATACCAATCTCTGTTTGTGTCTCAGTTCTAATCTCCTTGGGGTATATTCCTAGCAATGGAATAGCTGGGTTATATAGTTTCTATGTTCAGCTTTTTGAGGAAACACCAAATCCTACCAGAGTGTTGTACTATTTTACAATCCTATCAACATTCTATGAGGGTTCCCACCTCTCCGCATCCTCTCAAACATTTGTTACTTGCTGCCCACTAAACTTTGTCACTGCTGCTGGGGTGAGATGGTATCTTATTGTGGCTTTGATTTGCATCTCTAATTGCCAGTGATTTTGAGCATTTTTTCATTTTTTGTTCAGCTCTTCTGATGACCAGTATTTCAGGATGTTAATTTTAAGCCCTTGATCACAGATGAAAAAGGTAGATGTTTAGAAATGGTCCTTTTTACTTGCTACAGATAAATTTTCCCTGCTTGGTGACGTCCCTTTTTGTGACATTTCTCTGGCTGATTTGTTAAGTACTTCTGGGCAGATAAGGAACTCTGGTGGCCTACTTGTAAAGAGTTATACTGCCAACTCAAAGTCAGATGGTTTAACTCCATGAGCTACTTCTAAGGAGAAAGATGGGAAATCTTCCATGAGATTTGTAGCCTCTCAAAGCCCACTGGAGGGACAGGTATGTGTGTTGGTTCCGACTCGACAGCACGTAACAATAACT